ATTCACTGAAAAAAAGGTGCTCGGCTCAAGCATGATGATTCTTGAATTTGCCGCCAAGACTTTTTTTATCTTGATTTAAGCTGGATTTTTCTTGATACAAGAAAAATCATGTTTGGGTCAAGCAAGAAAGTAGTTTATATTGAGCAGCAAAAGTCTTGATCTAGGAAAAAATACTTCTTGGCGGAAAATTTAAGATTCTTTTTTTTCAGTGTTTGTGACACTATGGAGGCCTAAAATACGGGAGCCAATCAAAAATTGATACGCATGGTCTTTACTCTCAGTGTGAAGGGAATCTAGCTTATAGTCGTTCGGATCGTCCGGCAAAAAATGCGGCCATGAACTATCTTACCAAAACAGCACAGTGGAACGAAATTATTCATAAGAAATTGCAATTTATTGCATTACAATTTCAATGTTCTTCGGTGAAATTCCAATACTTTTACGGCATTTGGTCAATTAGTGTCGATTTGAAACGCGGCCAATACAGTTACTTTGATATCGGTGACTAGGGAACAACACTGCCTATCTGCAAACTGACGATTTTGCAGGGCGACAAGAAAACTTCGCCATTTTTATAATTTGAGGGTAGTTTTGCAATTTTTTCCTACATTACAGCGTCATCAGGGCCGGATTTACCTACTTGCCGCCCCCTTCTCATTCGTTTTGAAACATCAATAAAAACCATCAAGTGAATGTGCCGGAGGAGGAGGGGTGCATAAGACACATTTACCTACTCGTGTTGGACACATTTTTTGCGAAAGCCCTGTCCACACTACTAGCAAAATTTCACGGAACTTGACGCGAAAGTCAAGTTCCATAAACCTCTCTCTGTGTGGACGAGGTCCTCCATTTATAAGAAATTAACCAAAAAATTATGAAGGAACAAACATAAATGTGGTTTAATAATTTTAACTTCCGCCGCTGCGCCGCGCTGATCGCACTGTGTTTGGCGCAATGCGTGAGGTATTCCTGGAGTCTTGTAGGCGCTATGCGTTTCACGCCAACCGCTCCTGACCGCACTGTGTTTGGCGCAATGGGTGAAGTATTCATGCAGTCTTGTAGGCGCTAATATGTGTTACATGCCGACCGCTGCGCCGATGGCTTGTCCTTTTCATCTCAAGTCGAGCTCCAGGCGAAATTGCGTGTTCAGTTCCTCTCTTAACTCGACTAATTAAAGATGCTGTCTCTTGTATCACCGAAAAACGACAAAATTAGAAATTACTATACTCGCAGGAAAGGGAGATTTTATTCCCTTTTCTCATTGATCATTTTTTTTTCCTGAATCCGATTTTTTTATACCTACTTTTAAAAAAATCACAAAATTTGCCGCCCCCTAAATTTGCCGCCATGGGCTGCGGCCTACGTGGCCACCCCCTTAATCCGGCCCTGAGCGTCATTGCAGCGCTCCTCTACAGAAATGGAAAAAAACTAAAATCATGAGCTTGCGTATTTTATACTGTAGAACGCGGCAAAGCCGCTATAACTCATTTTCGCCCTGGGACCGCACCGGAAAAAAAGTCTCCTGGATCCTGTATCCAGACTCTTAAAAATTTTGACAAGAAAAACTACTCTTGATTTCATTGGATTTTTCCTTGAATCAAAAGGAAATCCGCTTAAGGTAAGAGGCTTGGTTCTTGATTCAAGCAAAAATCCAATTGAATCAAGACAATTTTTTACTGTTAAATTTCATATAAGAGCCTAGACACTGGATCCAAGGGAATTGTTTTCCTGTGCGAAGCATTGTTACCTGAAAATTAACATTGTAACTACGACCAAGAAAGTAGGTAGGAACTTGAACCAACCAACAAAGACTATTTTTTTCTTGGCAAATTTCTTTGGAGTCCGGACTTTTAATCCAAGAGACTTTTTTTCATCACGAAGTATTGTTACTATATAAAATGGTTAAACTTACTATCGTAAAACTCACCACTTTCACTTAATATATTTTACAGTCGACGCGTTGACTCGGTCTCGAAACGCGTCAACAGTAAAATATATTAAGTGAAAGTGGTGAGTTTTACAAAAGGAGTCTTAACCATTTTACATAAAGCTCTCACTGTTTGTTCAAATTGTTTAAAACTATTGTTACCATAAATAAAGTAACATCGTAACTACGACAAGGAAAGTAGGTAGTATGTGGAACCAACTTCTAGCATCGTAATAGACGAATATTTTCCATCCGGAAGGGTTGAAAGTAACTATTTTATAAATAGGATCATATTTTCGCCGGGCTAAACGCGAGAGCTGGCTCTTGCTCTTGGTCAGATTGATAAGTTGCTCGGGAAGGCTGGAGCCGGTGCTCCTCCATCACTCGGCTTTTGTCAACTCCTTGGCGTTATTTTGCGAGGGAGCAGATTTATTCGCCTCGAGTAAGAATTAGCGTCAACTTGCCCGCTGCCAAGCATTAATTTCAGCTGTCAAATCCGCCGTGCTCAGGAAGAACGCCGTATGAGCCTGCAGGCGTTGCCAAACTTCCTCCGATAAAATGCGATTCTTGGAAGGAAGTTATGAATATTTTTCCTCCAATTTTTCAGGCAACATTGTTCGCAGTTAAATCTAAAATATCTGACGATTTCTGGAAAAAATATGCATGACTTCCTTCCAAAAATAACATCATATTCGGGGAAATTTGGCAACTCTCGAATGTACATACGGCGTTTTGCCTCAGCACGGCAGAAATGTACGGCGCAGCGGCTCAACAACTGCGGCAGACTACGCTGACAGCATTCTCAAAAGTTATTAAAACTGATTGCTCAAGCCGTGCTCCGACTCACTTTTAATTCACGCTTTTCTTTTCACGAGAATGTCATAGCTAACTTCCTCCGTCTGACGGTGCCTTTTCAGCAAGTGTCTTTTTTAAATAAGCCAACGTGGCATTGCCCGGACTCAATTAGCATTTTTCAACGGAAAAGTCTCGATTATTTGAAATTAAGTCGCGATTTTCAGGATTTTTTGGAAATGAAATCGCTAGGATCATTAACGCTTGAGCGACTATCCTCAATCTTGTTGCAATTTCACAGTCAATAAAATTGAAACTTTATCTCAATTTATCACGAATTTTTGTTCGATAATATTGCGATGAATCCCCGTCGATAAAACCACGATTTTGTTGTAACTTTATGCGATGAAATTGCAATTTTTTATCCGAAAATATTGTAATAAATCGACATCGATCAAATCGCAACTTATCGCGATCACTGCTAATTGGGTGCCAGCGTAAATTGACCGTGGTTTAGTACCGTATGTTCATCATCGAAACTGTGAGGACATCTACGATAAGAATCTCACGTCAAAAAATGTTTGAAACTGAAGTATGTAAAAAAAAAAAAAAACTAAAGCACACAGGAAATGAGAGACAACCTACTAAATTCACCCGGACAATTGCATCAGATCTCGTGCCAAAATGAACAATATTACGATATCAGATACATGTTCAACATCTGTTTGACCATGATTGTGATCTTCCAGATCGAATTCGTTTGCCAATCGTTCCTTTGAGAACAACCCAATTTTGGAGAAAAAACAGATGCAAAGAATGGATTTCAAACTTTCACGGGCTCATCGTTGATTTTGAGCGGTGCCATACCAGTGGCGTGGCGTGCTTTGCGATTTATCGATTGTTATGCCATTTAAACCTATGGAAAAGGATCAATAAACAGGGTGTTCGCAGCGAACATCTTAATAATCGATTCTTTACCATAGGATTAAATAGCATAACAATCGATACATCGCAATTCACGCCACGCCACTGGTACGAAAACGTATTCATTTATTTGTATCTCTCTTGTGAAATAGACCACTATAGCGTCCCGTGTTTATTTTCAGATAGTAGGTTATTTGGACTACATTCGGAAACTAAGACGGGACTTAAAATTTCTAGCTCATACATAAACACTCCTATCTACTCGGGGAAAATAATGGCGCATATGTTTTTTTCTAAAATGCGCCAGAAATCGTATTTTCTAATTGCAAAATGCAGGCAAATTGTGACGAATTTATTCGCTATATTGCCAATAAATTATGCCACTTGTAAAAAACACAACAAAATGACCGATGTCGTAACAGTCTATTTCTTCTGGGTGGGACCATCGAATGTATCGAATATCTTAGTCACTAAATCAGTATATTGAAGGGGGCACGCTTCGTGTGCCGTCTCGAGGTGGTAACTAAGACTGCCGTGCTAAGGAAGAGCGCCGTATGAACCTTCAGACGTTGCCAAATCTCCTTTGACAAAATACGAATTTTCAAGGAAACTTGAGTACACTTCTCTACCAATTTTTCAGAGAATTTTAGTCGCAATTTAATCTACAGGGTTTGAAAATTTCAAGGTACAATATTCATACATTTCCTAAAAAATGACTGTCTCACAGGGGGAAATTTGGCAGCGCGCGGATGTTCATACGGCGTTTTTTCTCATAGCACACAAGAGGCTTGTCCTGTGACACGAAACAAGCTGCTCGCTTGTTGTCGCTAGGCGTTGGGGCGTAAATTGATTTCCGTATGAGCCCCAGAAAGCCTAGATTTATATGTAAAACAGGGCTCATGTGGAAATCAAGGTACACCCTTACGTCGGAGGGGGACGACTTGTATCCTCATCACAATATCGACAGATACAGGACCACGAGACCAGTGGTGAGGCGTGAAAAATCGATCATCGATGTTTCCCGATTTGAAACCATGGTAAAGAATCGATTATTAAGATATACCCTGTTTATCAGTGGCGTGGCGTGCTTTGCGATTTATCGATTGATACGCCACTCAAACCTATGAAAAAAAATCGATTATCAGGGTGTTCGCAGCGGACGCCTTAGGAATCGATTCTTTACCATAGCTTCAAATGGCGAGATATCGATAATCGATCATTCACGCCACGCCACTGCTGTTTATCGATCCTTTTCCATAGGTTTAAACGGCAGATCAATCAATATATCGCAAGGCTCGCCAGGCCACCGCACGGTACCTGCAAACCCGATGGGAAAGCTAGGAAACGAGGTTCTTACCTTAATGTCAAGGTGAGCAATTTTTCTTTGATGAAGATAAGCGAGGCCTTCGACGACATGCTGGACAAACTTGACTACATCCGATTCGAAAGGCACCAGGTTGTCGTCGATTATCGTCTGGAGATCGCCACCCGGAGCGCTGCGGACAACCCGACAAATGTTGATTAGACTTACAAGACTCACAAGTGCATGTACGTACACGTGCACGCGTTTGGATCTATAGCATCCATACCCACACTGACGTGAGCCCCGGGATCCATAAGGGTGCGTGCGCTACAAGGCTCGTGTCGCGTTGGACGTGCTTCCTTTTGATCTAGACGCGTCCACGTGGGGAATCGTGTCCCGATCACGTGACGTTGTTAACAATAGTATCGACCTGGACTTGCTTTGTATCGCAAGTTTGCTTCGGTTGAGATGCGGGATGCGGGGGTGAGTCGAGGGGGGAGACAACCTCACCCACATCCCACATCCTCCTTGATCGTGGGGAAAAGTCGCGAGAGACCAAAATGAAACAGGGCTATGAAAGTTTTGCAATAAAGTTTTGCGATTTTATGATATAATTGTACTTTTTTTTAAAAAAATATAAGATTTCAATATTTCTACATCATTCGGACAATAAAACCTGATTTTAAAGTATCAGTAAGATGAGCTTCAGGCACTGAAAAGAAAATTTGGTAGTATGTACCGAAGTCCGATGTTTCATATCATCCCAACTAATTCGGCTCGTCAAACTGAATTTTCGATTTGTCAAACCGAACTTTTGGATCGTGTAATCGATCTTTCGGTTCGTGTAACCGAACTTTCGGTTCGTGTAACCGAACTTTCGGTTCGCGTAGCCGAACTTTCGATCCGTGTAACTGAACTTCCGATTCGTGTAACCGAACTTGTGCGGTAAAGTGAACTGACGAACAAAGTTTGATCATATGTCGTCGCTCCTCTGACGTAAGGGCGTATCTCTAATTCAACATGAGCCCCGGAAAGCATAGGATTATACGGAGAACAGAGCTCATGTAGAAATCGAGATACGCCCTTACGTCAGAGGAGCGACGATGTGTCGAACGATCGGTTACGCGAACCGAAAGTTCAGTTTAAGGAAACAAATACTTGGGATGATATGGAACACCAAAGCACCAAACGATCGATTCACGTGATCGAATTTCTTTTTTCAGTATGTGTATCAGAAAGATAGACAATTTGTAGTGCCAAGAAAAATTGCTTCTTATTCCAATTTTATTGCATCAATATGAGGTGTCCTTTCAATAAGTAGATTGGCAATGTACATTTTTATTACCTCTTCTCTAAAAATGTATTTCTTCGTAGTAGAGTACGGTAAAGCAGCGCTAAGTCTACACAGTTTTACTGGCCAAGAACAAGGCTAAAAAGTTCCAAAATTGCATTCACCTCTAACATCCATTTCGAGCTCTAATCAGAGCTCAAAATTTTAGACTGTGATTGAAATTTGTGAACTTTTTGGCCTTGTTTTCCCCACAAAATAGTGTGGATCCAGAACTAACCTCTCTGTTACATACAGTTCGGGCCACGTTTCCTCCTGATTTTTTCTTCTTTATGTCTTTGCCCATCCCGATATTTATCGCGAGCGTTGAGAACCTTTATTATGGCCGCTATAGTTTTTTAAAAGGCAACAATAATGCACCAAAGTTTGCAAGGTTTTTCTTAAAGAGCGTGTGATTTAGTTTTATAAAAATTGCCCAAGTCTGGCAATATCGGGGAAAAGCGGATGTAAAGGAATGAATAAAGGGGGCCTGCCGTGTAAATAACTTCATTTTCATAACCAAGTAGGTATCTTTCTTTTGCGAAAGATTATTCAAATCAAGAAGGACTTGCATTAGGGAAATGTTTGAATTTATTATTCAAAGTATTATGTACCCACTTTGATGAGCATACACGGATCTCTCTTCAATGAGAATGATATTTAGATATTCATCACCTCTTTCAAATAAAGAGAACATCATACAATAGGGTAATGTTATGTCAGAACCTCGTCGTATTTTTTTCTTACCACTGCGTCTCAGGGCGGAAATGAAATCAGCCCATTTCTTTTTGTGCCATGGATTCGAGTTCGCATTTGATTTTTTATTTATATTGAGAAGGTAGCAAGAACGAGTCAAAAGGGAGCACTCATCCGAATTATGATTATTTTTGCTCTCATCCCGGAGTTTGGCCTTATTTCGAAATTTTCCTGCGGAAACCCCCTGGATTATCATCTCGGTTCTCTTCATGCTGAGAAATACTCTTCATAGTTTACTGCGTATAAGTTTATAATTGGGCCGCTTTTAGCAGAAAGGAACCGAGCAACATCAGCTACTTCCAAAACCTGAGCATTGTAATTCTTTACAAGGGAACGTTTATGCGGATTTTTTTTGCAAACAGTGAATTTCTGCATAGGACGAAGCAAATTCCCTAAAATTTTCAAAGGAGTCCGCACAACCGTTTTCATGTAACAAATTGAATCGCCCAATTAAATATGGCAATATTCGATGTGACTTGGTCCCTCTCGGCTTAACGCGGTTTTATGTTGGAGTCGCAAAGAGTTTACGACTTATTGATGACATCTCAGGATAGCATTTCTTTGTCAAGCCTCATCTCCTCTTGTATCAATAATCAACTTTGAGTTTTTAGGAGTCAGTCTGTCCTTTAAAACGAGAAGTAAAATTCAAAATCTCGTTTCCACGTGTTTTAGACGTAGAGTGTTAGTAATACTTCCGTGATAAGGAAAAACGCCGTATGAGCATTCTAACGTTGCCAAATTTCCTCCAAGAAAATAAGTGTTTTCGAGAAAATCATGAATAATTTTCTTCGAAATTTGCCGATGTATGTTTGATGAAATTGCGAATCGAATTCTTTGAAAATTTTACAGAGACAAGAAGAGAAATATTTACATGGTTTTCAGAAAAGTCTTATTTTATCAAATAATATTCATTGGCAACATCTCATAGTTCGTGCGGCATTCTTCCTTAGCACGACGGAATACCTCGAATACTTGTCGATACAATTTGCCCATTGATAAGGAGAACAGAATGCATACCTAAGGCGGGGGCGTTTTTAAAGTAGGATTCGTGGGTGTGAATACTTTTTGGCCTAGCGTATCGTTTGAAGGCGCTTCCTTCGCGGTCACAGTCATTCAGGTCATTCATTTTTTTGCTGGCGTTCTTCGCTAAGAAGAGCACAGGGATTGTTTTTTAAGTCTGACGGCGTGGCAACCCTACTTTCAGGTGCAAGGAGGAGGTCGCTGCTCATTGGCCGAGGGTTTCCTCCAATTTTCGAAGTAGGCTGGGCTCAATATTTTTAGCCTTATGTGATATGAATTTTCCGGTAATTACTGCTCCGAGCTCTAAAGCGAGGGAAAGTTTACAAGTCGGAAACCTCATAAATTCATTTTTAGTAAGGTATTGAATTTTGAAATTAATAAAAGAAAAGTCTCGCCTGTACACGATTGGTTTTTTTAATTTTTTTTTTTAAATTTTTTGTTCAGTGTATGTACCTGTACCTGCATTTCGGACTACGAGTCCATCCTCTGAACCAAATCACTAATTTCACGGGAAAATCTTTGATTTAGTGCTGTGTGATTTTAGTGTGATTTAGTGCTGTATAATTTTAGTGTGATTTAGTGCTGTATGATTTTAGTGTGATTTAGTGCTGTATAATTTTAGTGTGATTTAGTGCTGCGTAATTTTAGTGTGATTTAGTGCTGTATAATTTTAGTGTGATTTAGTGCTGTATGATTTTAGTGTGATTTAGTGCTATATAATTTTAGTGTGATTTAGTGCTGAGGATGGACTCGTAGTCCGAAATGAACTTATTCCTGCCGAACAGAACCATAGACGAGTGGAAAAGATGGAGTGTGCTCTAGAAATCTGCGTAAGAAATAATGTTCAAGTGATCGTGATTTCCTTTAGGGAAAGGGAAAAGCGGTATTCACCATTCTGCCAAACGGAACTAAGCGCCAACTGAATGCAGCACTCATGAGCCGTGGCCATGGTAAAGGAACATTGTGGACGGGGCTCATGAGTTAAAATGGACGACGAACGAGGGCTTCGTCGCTGCTGACGTCATCGGCGCTTTGTAATTCCCATTCATTTTTACGGTCCTCGACTAAGGAGCACACCCCTTCTCTCCCACCTGTCCCTTGTTCCGTTTATTGTCGCAATCACACGCTGAATGTGGAAGTCATCGGTCCGATGCCTGAATTTCACGTGCAAAATTCAGCAACGATTCTCAGCGACCATCGTATTATGTCGGATTTGTCCGAACTATTCGAATAGATTTGATACACGTCTGAATGAAAATAACTCGAATTCGCGATATTTCAGCCGTTGAGCGATGACTGTTGACGTCCATATTCAGCTGCCAAAAACGTGTGATTCCGGCATGTCAGAAATACGTCCAAATGTATATACGTGCACTGAACAAAAAATAAAACCTAAAACGTGTGAAGGCAAGACTTTCCTTTCACGAATTTCAATTAACACACAACATGCGTTACTCTGATTGTTTTTTTCATGACGTTAAATAATAACGCATGTACAATTGCAAATATCAGCTACCTACGTGCTAAATGTTTAAATGCTGCCAACATTGCTCGGATAAATTTATTCCTCTTGTTTTTTCTCGCAAGAAAGGAAGACCGAAAAGCCAAGTATAAATTCAAATGAAGGAGTAAAAATTTGTTCGCCCTCGCGTTGGAATCATCGATCAATTTGTAGCTCCAGCGATTTACATGTTTTCTTTTCTTTTTTTCTGAGGGCTACATGTAAACGCTGAACTCTCAGGAGAGGAATGCGTACAAGTGTATGTATACAGGCACTAAAAAAAAGGTAGAGGGTATGGGGGGCTTAATGAATCTTTATAGTCACGCGAGAGCAGTTTGCGATAGAAATTAGAAAATTGCATTATTCACCCTCGTTTTTCATTTTCCACCTACTCTACATTTTATTGCTGCTACCCGACGCGACGGGCTTTTAGATTATGAATTTCGAAGAGCGCGCAGCCATTTCAACGCCTCTCTTGTTTTTATCTATTGTGCGCCCAACGTTTCCCACGCTGTAAAAAATGCAAACCGGGCAACCCAAATACTTGAGCTATACCTAGACTTGGGCGCCTTTTATGAATTTTTATTTG